GAGAATTTCAATACAAGAAATTATAAATGTACTAAGTTACCTGGATGGATGCTTTATTAAAGTAATGAAAGAAAGCTTTTGTTGTTGTTGAGAGAGGTTCTCACTGTGCAACCCTGGCTGGTCTGGAACTTGCAGAGATTTGCCCACCTCTGCTCCTGCAGTGCTGGGACTACAGGAGTGCACCGCCATGCCAGGAAACTTAATTTTTAAATCAACAGTAAAATCTCTTTCCTTTATAGAGATTAGTAAATGTAGTGATATTTCATTTGTACTTTAATAAATAAAGCTGCCTGAAGATTAAAGAATAAAACTGTCCTATTGGTCAGCCTTACGGACCAGGCAGTGGTGACACACACCTTTAATCCCAGTAGGCACACTAGTTTGCCACAGAAACCAGACGGTGCATGCCTTTAATTCCAGTGGTGCACGCCTTTAATCCCAGCCCTAGAGAGGTCTATAAGATGGAGGAGACAGCTCTCACACACAGTCTCATTCTGAGATTCCTGGAGGCAGGATTGCCATTTCAGACTGAGGTAGAGGTAAGCACCAGTGGCTCTGACCTGCAGGTTGAACCCCAACTTCTGTCTCTGAGATTTTATTAATTATGATACAAGTAAAGACCTGTGCAGTTATTAATACCTGAATGACTTGCCATCTATTTACCAAAGCTACCTTCTCATTTCATCTTTATATCCATGTAACATGTGATTCTTATGTGTTCTTTTTGGGGTGGGAGGGGGTTGAGACAGGGTTTCTCTGTGTAGACCAGGCTGGCCTTGAACTCACAAAGATCCACCTGCGGCTGCCTTCTGAGTTCTGGGATTAAAGGTGCGCACCACCACAGCCTGGCAGTTAACGTGCGACTCTTAACATGTTAACAGCTGAGAAAGACAGCTGGCTGAACTCTACCTTGGCCTTCTGGGTCCTTCACTTCTTGCTAAGTGGTCAGGACTTTGATACTGCTGTAGAAATAACAGGAAATGATCTGCTAAAAATCTGGATCTCCCCACTACAAATGAGTGCCAGGGTAAGAAAAAGAACTAGTCTTGGGATAAAGTCTACAAAACAGTCTGCAGAATTAGTTCAAAGACCACAGGGAGAGAACATCAATTTGCGCTCAACATTGGCAATGTGAATGCACTGCAGAGCATCTTCTGGTTAACTGTGGCCCACCTCAGTGGAAAGCTGAGGCTATAATCATGGTAATTTTGACTAAGATGGTAAATGCTACAGCCTGAATGAGAATCACATTAAATAGCTTTTCCATAAATAAAAATTTCCTCACAAAGTTTCATAAGTTGGAATACTTAAAAAATAGGAAGTTGGGTCTACTCAGCAGAGAAGAAAAATAGTAGCGATGAAGTTGCCATGGACTTCAGTAAGGGTGTGCACAAGTGAAGCTGGAAACGTAACTGCTTAACAGCATGGGAATGAACCTTTGCATTTCCAACACTAAAGCTGTGATAGGCTACAAACATTTTTGTTCAATACTATAATTTCCCAATTAACAAGACTTTAGGTTCTCCCTGTGAGCAGAGTATATACTTATACACAACTAATATACTAATATTTGAGGCTCTTGCCCTTACTCTCGCTACCCTCCACCCTCAGGCTTTCTGGGCACAGTGAGCGAATAAAACCAGAAGCAATGACCGGCAGAGCGGGCTCAAGAGCTTGCAGGTGTGAAACTGTCTACACAGACAATACCCCAGCACCAGCTTCAGTGTGTCTCAGGGTCATCAGCAAGGCCGGCACAATGTGCATGAAGAAAGATAATCCTGACCTTAAAGACCGACAAAACAAAAATGTCTACATACAACTAAGCCATGTAAATGATGTCCCCTAATATTTTAGTTAATATATTTTGAGATTTTTATTTTTAAAAAATAAATGATAAATCCCAGGCAAATTTCTGAGTTTGAGGCCAGCCTGGTCTACAGAGCAAGTTCTAGGACAGCCAGGGATATACAGAGAAATCCTGTCTCAAAAAAAAAAAAAAAAAAAAAAAAGGAAGAAAGAAATGATAAATTTAAAATTAACAAAGTAGAACTCAGAAGTAATAAATCAATTGTTTTACTTAAGTTTAAAGTGGTTACAATCTTCACAGATGTTATAAAATAAGATACACACACACACACACGTATGTATAACCATTTGGTTAAAAGAACAGGAGACATGGGGTCTAGAATTACTTTTAAAGAAATGTTTCATTGTTGAATGCTTTTTTGTTTGTTTGGTTGGTTTGTTTTTCGAGACAGGGTTTATCCATAGCTTTAGCTTTTGGGCCTGTCCTAGAAACTAGCTCTTGTAGACTAGACTGGCCTCAAACTCACTTAAATCCACCTGCCTCTTCCTCCCAAGTGCTGGGATTAAAGGTGTGCGCCACCACCGCCCAGCTTGTTGAATGTTTTAAAACAAAAATAAATGTATCAAAATGTCTCTTGGTTCAGAATACACAAATCATGTTTCAATTTAATTACTCACATAAAAAGCAATGATAGTCTAAATTTAAGAACAAATTTTTAAAGTAAAATACTAGCCCATATCACAGAAAGTATTTATGAATTCTCTGTCCTCTACAGTATCTTCCTTGGCTTCAGCTCTATCTTCCAAGCTGAGAAGTAAACTTTATCTACAGTCTTTTTCAGAGAGCACCCATTTTCTGGCTTCTGGTTTTCCTGGTTAGATCCTGATACCGTTCCTAGTAGACTGTAAGCAACTAGAGAACAAGGCGTGTGGCAGCTTCACTTTGGTTTCTTGTATGCCAAATCTAAGCAAACAAATGTTTTGCTAGTGACATCAACTTCCTTTCAGAGCTGCACGTGTCCTGTAGTAAAGAGAAACTTAAAATTCCGCATCTTTAAAAGTTCCTGTGGCATTTCTCTCCTCCAACTGATTTTCCAAGTGTTACACTACAGATTACATGGAAATTAAATTTTAACCCTATAGCCATAAACCGAAATTGCAAACAAACCAGTGCCATTTCTGTCCTTGTTCGTTCTAACTGTTCAATGACTTTTCTACTCTTAGATTTCTACTGAGGCCCTATACAATACAAGGTATTATTACTCTACCTTTTAGGTAATTCCTAAGTGTAAATGAGCTATTTCCTTACAACGTTAGTAACATTTAATCTACATACAATAATCTGCAAAAAATGTCCAGTGTGTGATCCGGTGGAGCTGGGCCTATGTGCACACCTGTGAAGACCGTCTTGCAATCAGGAGGAATTTCCTCGACTCTCCGAAGCAGCCCTCCCTCCGCCCGTTCCCTAAGCGCAGAGTTACTGCTGTACTTTCTATTACCTTAGTTGTATTTTTTGGAATCTTATTATTTTAAAAGGATGGAATCATAAGTGTACACTCTCTTGAACTTCTCTCTTCACACAATTACTTTAAAAAGAAAAGTGTCCAAAGTGTAGCATATAGTCTTCTCATTTCTACTGCTGAACAGCTATTTCAACCCAGTTCCCCTGCAGTTTCTTTACACACCGATGCAAATCTAGGCTGTTTTGAGGCTTTGAAGTTCAGATCCCTAATCCCAACACCCAAAATCTCAGACAATCTAGAACTTTCTGAGTCCTAAATCATACCAGTGAACAACTCCACACCTGACCAGAGTGACAGGCACATCACAAACACTGCATTTGATGTGTGCTTTGAAGGGCTTTGAAAGGTGTACACGAAACAAATGTTATGTTGGAAAATCTGGGTTCCTATCTCGTAAAATGTCTCATGTGCAAGTGAATTATCACATTTACCAAACTTATATCAAATATCACATAATATCAAAATTATCCCTTATAAAGTCCAAACTTCCAAATCATTTCCGGTCTTAAGCATGAAAAAGGACACAGAAGATGTACTAGAAATGAAGCTTCAAAGAACAGGCTCACGTGACTCTTCACAGCCCACGGGAGGATATTAGCGCATGGGAACAGAATGGCTGGTACTGCTTTACTTGGTGAACAACAATGGCATCTTTTGCTCATTTTAAATTGCATTTCTTTCTTCCTGTTGAGTTTTAAGAGCTTTTAAAAGTATGTAGTCTAGATATAAATCTTCGTTAACTATATAATGTATACTTTTATGCACACAACCCTGTGCGTGCCAGGCGTGTTCTACCATTGAGACACATCTTCAGCCGAAACAGAAAATGTTTAGGTTTTGCTTTTTTTTTTTTTTTTTAGACAATGTCTGTTTAGCACAAGGGGGCCTGAAATGCCTAACTCTCATCTCAGCTTCCAAAGTAATGAGATTACAAATCTCCAGTTTTAAAAATGTAGACGGGGTGATATAACTCAGAGGTAGAAAGGGTATTTACCATACACAAGACCTTGTGTTTAATTCCAGAACACAGCGAAATGAGTTTTAAAATTATTCTTTTACAATCTCTCTCCCCCCCCCCCCCATTGATTAGGGTCCCTCTCATTATTTCCCCTTATCTCATTCCCCATCCACCAAATGCTTCACTTCTCAAGTCCCCTTTCTTTTGTCACATTTTCGGTGACCCATTGCATGTAATTAGGACTGCCTGTAGGAGCATGGTGAGGGCCCTTTCTTGAAGGGTTATTGCAGCCTTCATTGCTCTGTAGTCCCTCTGGGAGAAATGGACCTTATGTGCCCTCCCCAGGGATGGAATGTTGATGGGCAAAGTCTTGTGCAGGTGCCCACTGCTGCCGCGAGTTGGTGACAGCACCATCCACATCGAGTCCAGAAGTCTGCACTTTACAGAACTTACTGCCATCTTTCAGCTCTGACCTTCTTTCTGTTCCTCTTCCTTGCTATTCCCTGAACTGGACGGGTGGAAAGACAGGTGTTCTATTTAGGGCAGTGCACTCAGCAGACATTTAGGCCAAGCAGTGACAAGCTATGAACCCCTGCATTTTCCGCTACCCACTACTAATAGATGCTTCTCTGAACAAGGCTGAGATGGGGGAAACAGCTTTGACAATTAGGCTATGGCAATATAATAATCATCATCTGTATTCCAAACTATTGTTATGCTATGGGAATCCATTATCTATAATCCACAGCTATCAAATTTCCCATGCTTATTAAGCCTGATAAAATATGACAAATAGGTAAATGGAATCGGCAGAATGTCTGCTTAGTATGCATGAATCCCTAGTTCCTTCCCCAGAACCACATAAAGTTGGGCATGTGTCACAGTCTGGGATCCCAGCACCTGGGGGTAGAGGCAGAAGGATCAGATCAAGGGCATCCTTGGCTACATGGCAAATTTGGGTTTAGCCTGGGCTTTATGAGAGCCTATTTTTTTTTAAAGAAAAATAGAATATAGGAGGAAATCACAGACTTTCCTGACATTCTTTTCAGTTCCTCTTGATTGAGGAATGCCTTAGCAAACTACTAAAGGCAGCCGGTAAGCAGTGACATTTCTTCTATAGCCTTCTGTGTCTCTTAAACTCACATTTCCTGCCCTAGAACTAATCCCTGCAGTGTATGTGACTGTGACTGTTAACATCCTTGCCTGCTATATACTTCCATTCTCATTTCTTTGGTCCCTCTCTCCTTCAGTCCTCCATACATTTTCCTGTAGTCTCCAGCATCCCACACCTGTATCTTTACTAAACATGGCCACAGAATTTTACCTACCTTATACTAGATCTCTAGCATGCTTTTTACTTCCAAGAGAATAAAACAACAAACAAAAAACTTTTAGTTCCAAAAGGAAGTGAAGCCATATTTTCAGTAGTAACCCAGTGAACAGTACTCACTATCAAAATAAAGCAAAGTGAACACACTGTTACTTTAAACATTCTTGGTTTAAACTTTACACGTACCCAACAATGGATGAACAATGTTTCTAAAACAAAAGTGAATCGAAGGGCAGTGCTGGACTAATTCAGATACAGGGCATACCATGTTATGAAACAGTCAACATGCATTGTTTAAGCCATGTTCTACAGGGGAAAAAAAAAAGCTATTTCTTCTTAAATTCTCATTGGAAATATCTATGGAAGATGTTACAATGTCAGACACAACTGGAAGTTCTTCATATAAGCTCTTTACATGGACTGAGATAAACTGCAAATTAAATAGCAATTTCTAACATGATATTGTCAGAGTACAGACAACCCTGGTGTTACAAATATTTCATGGAAGAGAGAAGGTATGACAACTACATCAGACTGGCTTCTCCCCTGCTAAAGCTCCTAGTCCCTTTAAGACAGGCTTTCACTGTATAGGTCACGCTAAACTGGAACTCACAATCCCCCTGTCTCAGCCTCCAGAATGCTAGATTACAGGCATGGGTCAAAAGACCTCAACAGAGTGGTTCATAAAATACATCTAATGCCAGTTTATTGAGATATTACGTCTAAAAAGAATCACACATTTAAAAAATTAAATTTCCCCTATAAAAAATTAAATCTTACATTATTAAAAATTTCAGGTACACTAGAATAACAGAGTTTTGTTCCTAAATACCCAACAAGCATTATATAAAATAATCATATGCTAGTAGAAAATTATGTAATCTTGAACTTTTCTTAACTAGTTTCCTTTTACTAGAAAGAAAATGTAAAGATTGGCTTCAAATTCACTTTTAGTAATATAAAATATGAACTTTATTGTATAAAACAATAAACAGGCATTACCAAAAAATTATTTATCTAAGTTAAAGTGTTTTAAATGTATATAAAATTGTGAAATAACATGCTTTACCACTAAAGATATTTTATACAATATCCAATGACAGGATAAAACACATGTCTACTTTACTTCTGCCCCATTTTCAAGTCACCGTATTGAGCGATACATCATAAAATCAATGGTTGTGCATCTAGGGAACTTTCCAATAGAGCTCTCTTCCACTGGTGTGTATATCTTAATCTGTCTCATGTGGGTGTCTCTTCCATTTTGGTGATTGGCTAGAACGGCGATCTGTATCATGAACGTGCGAGTTGGCTTCTTATGATTGTCAGTTAAAGGTACGTGAATCCAGCCACTTGGCTCCACCAATTCAAGTTGCTGATAAGAAAAAAAAAGTCCAATTATGCTTTCACTCTATGAATAAGTTTATAATGAATGCATTCTATAATTATTCTTAAATTTCTGCTCACTGAAAGAATAACAATATACTAACCACCTTGCTTGGCCTACTAACCCATGGCTTCTTAGATTTGTGAGCCTTTACATGACACTGAGCATATACATAAAACGGATATAGAAAGCATATATAAAACAGATATGGAAAGCAAACATTTACTGGTAATAAATCAGAAAAAAAGATTGTAAAATAATTTTTTGGTATATATAACTTCATAAGTTATAAAAGTACTTAAAAGTAAAAGATGTAGAGCACTGTCAGTATTTTTCAACTGACTGATATTTTGATTTTATAATCACAAATGCCAAAAACTTCACTTTGCACAAATACATAGTACAAAATTATAGAAGTATATTTAGGGCTATTTTAGAAATTATGAAGAGTCTATCATATTCCTGAACCACGTCACTGAAATTCAAGCCAGAGTCTACATTGTTTAATTTGCTGTTCTGTCTTTATCCTGTTCCAAATAAAAATTTTAAAGGGAATTGTCACTTTTGTAGATAAAAACCAGAAGGGGTAAACTTCATTTCTATATGATTCTACTTTCTTAGGAAGAAGTTTATAAGTTAATATAAATTTCATTACTATCAAGTTTATAGGCTCCTTCCTGGTTTAAAGTTCTTTTTCTTTCAAAGTATTGAATGTGACCTCAAAGCAAAACTCCCTTTCCTCAAAGTATATGTGTACCATACACACACACTCCACCACCACCAACTTTAAAAAAGAAGAAATACCACCTCTAGGGATAACCAATTGCTTTCTGATTGGATTCGAGGCCCAGCCCAAAAGAAGGACCTTGTGCCTGTTGGTGTAAACTTGGTCAAAAGCCTATGAGTGGGAAGGTCATAGGCCCAATAGGAAATCCACTACTTGTTTCACTAAACTGACATGTTATCAAGCTGTAATTTAAATACTGATATTTATACCCATAAACTAGTGCTGCTCTCAGTCCTGGTCAGAGGTTTCTTATTGCAATGGGTGGTGGTTAACTCAAAGTCTCACAAGTGGTCAAAATGCTGACAATAAATGAAAATGAAGAGATCGCCCATAAATGGGGCATCTATCTCATCCCCTCCAAGGTTCAGAGGGTATCTCGGAAGAGAGGCAGAAAGGATGTAAAATCTGGAGATAGAGAGGTGTGCTGTGAAGTCCTGTGGCTCTGCCGCAGCTACTGTACTCATGACCTCATGTCACCTACGGCTACTACACAAGACCTGCACAAGACAGCCTGGAAACATCCATCCTGAGCGGGAAAGGAACTCATGAGGCCTCACCCCTCCTTGAGGAACTACTGGCAGTTGGGGGGGGAGGTATCTTTTTCCTTAGTGGTGTATCACTAATAAATTGTCCTTATTCCAGTAAATAACTCTCCACCCATGCTCATATAAGCAATCATAATTAAACTCAGACATGAAAGAATTATTTTTTCCTTTTTTATTTTTTTAAAAAGAAAACAAACTATCTTTTTTCATTATACATACCAATCCAAGTTCCCACTGCTTCCCCTCCTTCTATTTCCTCCACATACTCTCCCACCCCACCCCCCATTCCACTCCTCAGAGAGGGTAAGGTACATTGCTTTGGGGAAGGAAGAAAACTGGCAAAGAAGAAAAGTAAGCCTCAGGCTGGGTGTAGCGAGCTGCGTGGAGTCACACCTGATGGAGATGTAAAATCAACTCCTGAGATGGCTAAGGCCTGACTTATGCTATTATCATGCAATGATCATCAGCTGCTTGCAGATGCATGGACCTATGGGCAGTGCCCACCTGGCAATCCGGGGTTGGAAGCCCATGCCTACTTAAGGGCTGGGAGAGGTTTGCTCGGGGAGGGAGAGAGAGAGGGGAAGGGAGAGAGAGAAAGTGAATAAAGTCCTGGAATAAACTGCAGTGAGAAGAGCTCCGGTGTGTCGCGCATCATCCTCGCGGGTCGAGGGTGGCCGTGACAGCTGGGCTGATATATAACACATCTGTCCAAAGACTACACAGACAGAGTCCTATTCTAAACAGTTATATATTTGCTGAGTACGATGGTACCTATCTTTAATCCCAACACTTGGGAGGCAGAGACAGGCAGATCTGAATTTGAGGGTACCCTGATCAATAGAGAAAGTTCAATATATTAAAATGCTCATAGAAACATTATATATAATTGTTTGAATACACACTAATGGTCAAAGAAATAAACAGTGTATTCCTAATGTAGAATACTACACAGCAGGAGAGAGGCACAATCCATGCTAACCTATAGTGAGGACTTAGACACAAGACTACACGTAACGTATTTCCTCTGTAAGCAAGCAAAGTGAAAGGCAGTTTTTTTGTTGTTTTGTTTTGTTTTTTGGTGATAGGAAGCATACTAGGCTTCAGACTTTGGAAAGTGTGTAGAGGATTTCTTTAGGAACTTTATTGTTCACTATTACAAAGAGCATTTTCTATAAAAATTCAAAGCTTTTTACTTTAGTGTGTAAATTTTTGTTTGTATCAGTATTAAAAACAAGAATTGTTTCTTTTTTTAAAATGACCCAGAATTTCCTTTCCGCATTGCTGTGCTCCCTGACTGCCCTGTGACAGACAAGTTCAGTGAGGTCCACAGGCTTTCAGAGGCTACCAAGTTTCCCACTGGCCACATCTGTATCACACGCCTTTGTAAGAGGGCAGCGGAAAAAGTTTCGGGCTTTTGCTGCTTTACTGTGGAAAATGAAGGACAGAAGGAGGGACATTGCCTAGGTAAAAAGCAGTGACCACATCTCAGACTTGTCCATGACCTTTCACCTATTCATGCTGTAGCTACTACTGTCTTCTTCCTCAGAGCTGCTTGGCATCAGTCCCCTGGGTAAAGTATGGACCTGGACACGCTCTCCTAAGTTTCTCAGCACAGTACCTGAACCACATTATCCACAACAGCCATGAAAGAAATTCATACTAAACTAGAGGCAGATTCTGAAACCTGCAAAGATCAAGAATAGACAAGGAGACACTGACTACACATCACCGAAAGTGAGCAAAGGCTGGGGCTGGAGAGATGGTTCAGTGGTGAACAGCACTGGCTACTCCTCCATGGAACCGGGGTCCAATCCCCAGCACCCACATGGAGGCTCATAAGCATTGCTTAACTCCAGTTCCAGGGAATCTAACACCCTCTTCTAGTCAATTCAAGCACTGCATGCAAGTTGTACACAGGCATACACACAGGCAAAACACACAAACACATAAAATAAAAAGAAAATTTTAAAATGAGTCAGGGGATTAACACACCTTCAGGTGAATTACTTTCATGTTGTAAAATAAGAACCACTACAGGGGCTTCTGCTCTGTCACGTGAGACCTTTGACCCCTAACCCTAATTTCCTTTAGGGTCATCAGGATACTGGCTTAATGCATCTTCAGAAATCTAGTTCTCAAAGTCAGTGTAACCATGTTCATCACAGGCACTTTCCAATGTCCATGCCCTATTCTGTGTATTATCGGGGCTACACCTTTCTGTGATTTTCTTTTGTCACGAGAAAACATAAAAAGACAAAAACAACACTCAAAGTGCTCTCACCTAACTCTAACTTGGTAAAATGTGCGATATAAGGATCATAAGGAACCCACTCAGATGAAAATTCCTTCAGTCAACAACTTCCATGCCTACTATACAGCAGGATATGGACCGTTCTGGAAGATGCAGTAAGAGAAAGCAATCACCAAGTCACTGTGCTTTGTGCCCTTTATGATCAGGAAGTACATCTCATCACTAGTCTTTATGCAAACAGCATTTGACTATGATCTGCAAGCACTCTGAAAAAGGAGTTCAGCAAATATACAGACTTTTCCTCTTGCTCTTAGATTCAAAAGAATTAACAACTGAGGCACTGGGGAAAACATAAATCCATAAAAGCCAGGAGCAGAACAACTAGACAACAACCGAGAGGTGTTAAACTAGAGAAGTCTGCTGGACAGTTAACGTTGTCCAGTTCAGCTCCATCCATGACGTTCACTGCATGACATGTGGAAAGACAGGGCTGAGAGCACAGGAGGGAGGACTAGAAACCAACAAAAAGCAAGGTAACTAAACGTCAGTACCTGAACCTGGAGGAAGGCACTTCTGAGGGAATGAACAGCATGTTGGAATAGTTATAACCACTAAGAAAACAAAACTAACTAGCATCCTCAGCTGCTTTTGGTTGATGAAGTTCCTTCCCCATTCTTACAGAGAGGTAAGGCTTTTCTATGTGGAAAACTCGGAAAAGGCAAACTTTTAGAGCTAGGCAAAATCAGGGAAAGATGGCAGAATCATATGACCCAATAGCAAGGCCCTCAGTCCCTTCATCTTGCTCAGCTACAAGAACACTGACTTCTCCATAGGTCATTTGTATCTCTCTACAGACTCTCCCATCCATCCTGCTAGGTACTTAGGTGAGATAAGAAATCATTTCTGGGCAAAATGGGAAGTTTATAAGAAAGACCTACAGATAGTGAAACACAAATACCCTCAATTTAACAGATTTTACTCAATGACTAGTCACTTTGTGTTGAGCACCATTCTAATTCGTTTTGATAAAAATAAAAACAAATGTAAGCAGTTTGTATTCTAGTGGGGGATGATAAAAAACCCAAATATGTATTATGAAGCATATCAAATAATAAAAACAGTGTGGGAGAAAGGGAGAAAAGAAAAAGCCAAGGCAGAAGCATTGAGAGGCACATATATGCAGTTTTAAATAAAGTGAACATTCTAGACTTTATAAAGGGAACATGAGCAAAGACTTGAAGGACATGTCAATTTCAGCTTGGTCACACAATCACAAGGCCCACCTCTAATATGAGCAAAAATTGTATCAAAATGAACTCTCTGAATATGAGAAAACACCCAAGAATCTACCACCATATGAACAAATAAAATAAAATAGAAAGTGAAGTAAGAAAAAAAGTAAAAT